TCTATTGAGGTATGTTTTGTGGCCTAGCACTTGGTCTATTTTGGAAATTGTTCCATTTGCACTGGAGAAGAATGTCAATTCTTTCTTTTTGGGGTGTAAAGCCCTGTATAGGTCTATAAACCCTATCTCTTCTATTTCTTCCTTCAAAACCAATGTTTCCTTGATGAGTTTTGTTCTTGTTGATCTATCCAGAGGTGATAAGGCGATGATGAAGTCTCCAACTACTATTGTGTTGCTAGCAATGTCCTTCTTAAAATCTGTTAGCAGTTGCTTTAAATATTTAGCTGTTCCCTCATTAGGTGTGTATACAATTAAGAATGTGATTTCTTTCTGTTGTACATATCCCTTGATAAATAAAAAATGGCCTTTGCTGTCCCTTCTAATCTTTTTCAACCTGAAATTTATGTTGTTGGATACTAGTATGGCCACCCCAGCTTTTTTGAGGGAGCTGTTTGCTTACAGGATTGCTTTCCATCCTTTAACTTAAAGTCTGTGTTTGCTCCAACTGTTCAGATGAGTTTCTTGTGGCAGCAGATCGTTGGGTTCTGTCTTTGAATCCATTTTGCCACTCTGTCTTTTAATTGGTGAATTTAGACCATTGGCATTGAGAGACAATGTTGTTATGTGGTTTTGTGTCATCTTTCTGTAAGGGTGTATTGTGGTTGTGGGGTTTGTCTTGTATTATGGTAGCCGCTTTAGCCCTTCTTTTAGGTTTGGTTTTGAGTCTATGAAGTTCCTGAGCTGCTGTTTATCCACAAAATAGTGTACCGGTCCTTCGAGTTTGAGTGAGAGTTTAGCCAGATAGAGTATTCTTGGTGAAGCATTCATTTCAGTGAGTTTTTTCACTATATCCCACCATTGCTTTCAGGTTTGGAGGGTTTCTTCTGATAGGTCTGCTGTGAATGTAAGGGGTGCTCATTTGTATGTGATTTCCTTCTTTGACCTTGCTGCTTGCAGTATTGTGTCTCTATCCGCGGCATCCATCATTCTAACTATGATATGGCGTGGAGTGTTTTTGTTAGGGTCTCTTTTAGCTGGCACCCTTCAGGCTCCTTGACTCTGAATGGCTGCATTGTCCACCTCTGGAAACATTTCAGCAATGGTTTGTTTAAAGGTGGCTTTTTTTCATTGGGATTGTTTCCCTGAGCTTCTGGTAGTCCAATGATTGTAATGTTGTTCCTCTTGGAATCATCTTCTAGGACTCTGATTCACTCTAGAGCTATTTTGAGGGCTCTTGCCCGTTGTTTGTTGTTGCCTGTAGGCTTCATGCAGCTGATCTTCCAGCTCACTGATTCTGTCTTCAGCTGTGGCCTTTCTACTGTTGAGGGCACTGACTGAGTTTTTTTTTTTTCATCTACTGAATCTTTTATTCGTGACATTTCTGTTTGTAGCTTTCCAATTTCTGCTCTCATTTCTTTCTGTATTTTCTCGATTGTTTCTCTCATGTCCTCCTTTAAATTATTGGATATCTGTCTCACTGCTTCATTGAGTTCATTGAACATCTTCATTACTGCATATCTGAATTTTTTTCTCAAAGAGATCCCTTAGGTGAGTAGCACCTACTGAGGCTTCTGGACTCTTTTCACCGTCCTCCCCTCGTGGTTGGGATTTGCGTTGTTTCTTCATGTTGGTGTGGAGGTATGGAGACTGAGATGTTACACGAGATTGCTGAGTATGAGTAAATTATCTGCGGCTGCATGAGTGTTGGCTGGCCCAAAATTAAGCCACGCCCACTTCTACAGAGACCATGCCCACTTCTGAAGAGGCCACATCCTCTTACGGGTATCTGGTGTGTGTGGGGGCGGGGTACAACCTGGGGGAGGAAGAAGACTGAGCATAGCATTGGGGACAAACAGGAAGAGGCTCAGGATGGTGTGTATGCAGAGAAAGCCAAGTCCTGGGTTCGAGTAATGACTGACCTAGGCGGCGGAAGAAGACCTGGCACAGCTTAGGGAATGAACAGGAAGAGGCTCAGGGATGGTGAGTGTCCCAGGGTCCTAGAGGATGCCTGGGTGCCTACGCAGAAAAAGCCAAGTTCTGGGTTCGAATAATGACTGACCTGGGGGAGGAAGAAGTGAGAAGCTCAGGTTTTCAGTGAAGTTCTGAGAAAGCCTTGGGCTTAGAAAAAAAAAAGAATTCTTCTCAAAAGGAAGAAATAACACCTGGCAAAAGTAGTTTCTCACTGGTATTCCAACCACTTTTCAGTTCTTGTCCAGGAACATTTTTGGGAGCACATAAAATTGGCTTGAAAACATTCAAGCATGTAGCAGGTTCTGAATAGGTAGGATGGCACCGAACCGAACACTTAAAAGCAGGTTGTTTCACTTGGTCAGTCTCTATAGCTGATACAGAACTGTTTGTGATGTAATTTAATTTGAGAAATGTTTTGGGTTGCCAGTTTTTTTTTTTAAATCAAGAAGTATATGCTATGTCCTGTTCAGGATTTTGAGTGGTTTATTCGTTCGTTAACTTAATTTCTCATTTAAATATATATATGCAACAGGTATTTGTTACAGTCTTATCAGATTGTTAAGGTGTGAAATGTATTGGATTCCCATTAAACCTCTTAATTCTGTTTTGTGAACATTGTTGAAATATGTATCTAACTTTCTGCTTCAAGATCTGCTGATTGCTCAATAGAATATTGTGAAATTCTAAGATTAGAATGCCATACACACAAACTCTTCCAAATGGTTTTTATTTTGTGTGTGTGTGTTCTTCGAGATAAAAGAAAATTATTTGCTTTATTTCAAATTGTCCTTAATGAGTGTAAAATTTAAAGGTCAAGGATGTGGAATTAAATACAGAAAAGAATCCTCACCAAGTGAAAATGGAAATAGTTAAAATCTTATTTAATCCTATGTTGCGGTAACTGCACATTTACATAATTTGGTTTTCTGCCAAGAGTGAATTTGCTTTATATAGTTTGTAAAGAACATATATAAAGTATGAAAATATTTCAGCATTGGTAAGTTATAAATTATGCTAAATTTGCTGAAATGCTTATTTTCTGACATTTTATCTAGGCATAAACTGAAATTGGACTATGATGAGAAAAAGTAATGTTATTAAGGTTGTACTTTTTACATTTATTTTAGAAATAAATTCATTTCTAAGAGATCCTTGTTTATCAAATACTCTCAAAATAGCTATTTCATTTTAATATCTCTGTAGTTGTTTCTGCATTCATTTTGAAATTATTTTCTTTTTCACTTGGGCTGACATACACACCATGCAACACTGTTCATTTTGCATCAGCAGAGGTGCTTTCCCCCTATAGTCACGACTGCTGCACGCATCATTAGAACAGCATGTAGTGGTTTTAATGTTATTTCTAAACCTCTGTCACCTCATGCCATTATTTTAATTTAGGGCCAACTGTTCAGCCATATGGAGCAGTCTGTCATTCAACATCTGTATGTTCTTACGAAATATGAATTTGTCTGTATGATTTGTGCCTTCAAATATGTTATATTTCATGTGGAAAAACCAATTCTTTTACTTTATTAATGTTTTCATTGACTGATTCTCCCATTTATATCCCCCCGCCCCCCCGTAGAGAGATCAGTGTTGGATTGAGGTGCTTTTAAAAGCCACTGTGTCAGTGCATGGATTCCTATAAGTGAGCCTCTTCTTAAGTACTCACCATTTCTTTTTGTGTTTCACAAATTATTCATCTTTAATCTCTTTTATTCTAATCTGAAAGCTCTCAGAAAAGCAATGTAGCATGATAAATAGAACTGGCAGCCACTGTTTCCTCATTCAAATCCTATTGCTTGGTTGCCTTCTCAGCCTTCCTGAAATCAGTGGGTTTTCTGCTAAAGGTGCAGTTGCTGATTTCTCATTTCTCATCACTTTCAAGCAAATTAGTCTCTCTGGTCCTACTGGTAGACCTGCCACTGCATTTGTGTTTATACATAGAACCCCCACCAAATCTTCCCAAATATTATTTGACGAGAGATGAATATGAATCGCAGAAGAAAGCAATGAGGCTCCCTTCAAGGATTTTACTCTCAGTAGTGGAAAGACAAGTTCATTGTAAATCCATTTTGGGTAGTTGTTAAAGGCATAGGTCTGATTGTATAGCTCATTTATTCTCTATAATCTTGAATAAGTTACCTATATGCTTTATGCTAAGTTTTTCTCATCCAAAAAGTGAGTATGTTTTCTAAATCCAAAAAGTGAGTATGTTTTCTAAACCCTGTAATGTTTTCTAAACCCAAAATATTTGTATAAAAATTAGGAGGCAAAACTTAATCCAACTTTTTGGTAAAAATGACATGACAGGAAGTTATGTATTGCTTTTGTTTCTCTACCATTTGAATATTCTTGTTTTATGTGGTCTTTTTCTTACTTTCTAATGAACGCTTACACACATATTTTGCCCATTTTTTCCTATTAATTCATTGATTTTATCCTTTAGACTATGACATGCTTTCAATTTTTTAGTGTTATTTCAAAATTGTTATTTTAAGTACCATAGTTTACAAAGCAGTGTTTGATAGATTTCATACATAAAACTTCCAGCACCATGCCCTCTACCAATGTCCCCTTCCCTCCCCCATGTCTCTGTGTCCTTCCCACCTCTAGTCCCCCCATGGTAAGATTCCTACTGAAGACTAGTTCTCAGTTTGTTAAGTCATTGATGTTTACATTAGCAATTTTTTGGAATTTATTACATTTTCTGACAAATTTTGTTATCATATTTTGAGATTACAATTTTAAAAAATATCTATTGATTAAATTTGATTTAAACTTAATCATTTTTTACTCAAGTGGTCTAACTTGTCATTTGTCAAGTTTTGAAACATCAAAGTTTCAAAAATACACAGTTCTACTACTTCTGGACTCTCTGTTCTGTACAGCTGTTCAGTTCATGTGTATGTTATCTTTGAATTATTTGTGTGTACATACACACACACACACATACACATATATTTACTCATCTCTGAATTTCAGGAATGTCATCTAGACTTTGAAACTCTTCTTTTCCCCACTAGATTTTGGACATAGTAAAAACAAGTGTTCGTTCGGTTCTTTCGCACATCTGGAAAGTACCTGATGTTGAGGAAATAAATTTGTATCAGATTTTCAAGCGAATTTTTAGTCGCTTGCTCTGGAATCGTGGCCAAGGACTGTGGAACTGTTTCTGTGATTCAGGGTGAGTTCCAAATTATCTTTTATTATTTTTACCTTTATTATGTTAATACCAAATTCTGAAGATGACCTAATAAAATAATTGAAATTCCTTTATGTCTTTGAAAATATGAAATTTTTACTGCATGTATATGTGAATGTAAGAGTGTGTGTGTGTGTGTGTGTGTGTGTGTGTGTGTGTGTGTGTGTGTGTGCACATTTATTTGATTTTGGGACTACACCTGGAAGTTCTTAGGATTTACACTTGTCTCTCTGCTTTGAGATTACTCTTGGTGGTGCTTGGAGACCATATGTGATGCTGGAGATTGAGTCGGGATGGCCTCATGCAAGGCAGATGCCTTACTGTGTGCTGTCTCTCTGGCCCTATTGCTTTTTTTCCTTCTATTTTTGTTTGTTCTTTTGGGTCACACTCAGCAACGATCAGGGGTTACTTCTGGCTTTGTACTCAGGAATTACTTCGGCCCCATCTGGCCCTACTGATTATTTAAAATAATATATAGCTCTAATTTTTGTTTGTTCTTTTAACCCATATCCGGCAATGTTGGGTGCTTGGTGCTCAGGGTTTAATCACAATAGTGGTGCTTGAGGGATCATCTAGTACTGGGGACTGATTCTGGGGCTTCCATGTACAAAACATGTGCTCCAGCCCTCTAAACCATCTTCTCAGTCCACTTTAGCTTATTTAGATGGGATGTGGAGATAATAACACCTTATCTGTTCTAATTTTGTGAAAAGAAGGGAGTCCTTGTGTGTGTGGCTGGGCCACGAGCTTCTCAAAGACTTCTCAGAGCATCCTAGGACAATTTCCAGCAATATGTGACTGACCAGTCCCCAAGTTCAATTCAAGGGCCCGAGGATGCAGTGATGCTCAGGCCAGGGCACACCAGGCCTATGCCAGCAGTGCTCAGAGGGCTTTGAAGGCCACATTGATGGTTCTTGGGGGCCTCCAGGGCTCTACTTGGTGATACTTGGGAATCCTTGTGGTTATCGGGATCAAATTCAGGGCTGATACATGCAAGGCATATGCCTTGAGCCATATGCTCTCTTCACAGTCCCCAGAAGTTGGTCTTAAATGAAAAATAACTCTTGTTACAAAATCAGTATCTGGAAAATTCTTTAGCTATTAGCTCTAAATTGCTGACTTCCAAAACTATGAATTAATTCCTGCTCCTCTTCAGAATTTTAGTTCTGCCAATGCTGTTGGGACTCATTTTCAGTTACACCTCAGGATATCCAAGCTCAAATGCTTCTTATCTCCTTCTTGTTGAAAAATATCTTCCCATGTGAACACCCTTAATCCCATTTTATCCTCCTAGTCAGAGAGGTTTGATATCTTCAGCTTCCTTCTCCCACACTTTATTTAATCACATGCTAAATTCTACTAGATTTCTTTTTTCTGTCGCATATCCACTGTTGCTATTCAAGCTGGTTTCTCTTTTTAAAGATAAACATTTTTCAATCTGTGATAAATATTTCTGGAGATGTGATGTTAAATTTGACCTCGACCCTGCCCTAAAGAAACTAAAAAATGAGAGTGACTCAGGTTGTGTGGTTTACGTGTCAAGCATTGTTCTGAACACATTCTATGCATCCATCATTTATTCCTGATACGAGCCATAGCACAGTGGTAGGGTGTTTGCCTTGCAAGCGGCCAACATGGCCGACCCGAGTTCGATTCCTCTGCCCCTCTCAGAGAGCCCAGCAAGCTACTGAGAGTTTCTTGCCTGCATGGCAAAGCCTGGCAAGCTACCCATGACATATTAGATATGCCAAACACAGTAACAAGTGTCACAATGGAGACGTTACTGGGCCTGCTGAGCAAATCGATGAACAACGGGAGGACAGTGACAGTGAACATCATTTTGAAGCAGGTTATGATCACTATCATTTTATAGGTAAGGAAGCTGAAGCACAGAGTTTGGACTTTGTGTGGCTGGGATTTGAACTTAACAACCTAGTCACACAGGCTTATTCTTGTAACAGATAAGTGCTACTTCCTCTAGGAAACAGAGCAAGACACATATAAAAGGGATCATTGTAAAAGAGACACAGAGACTTCAGGATGAAGAAGGTTATAAGACACAGTGAAGGTAATTTCTTAATGATCAAGATCTGTACATTAGGAAGAACTCACACTCCTGAAAGTATATATACCAAATGAGGGACCAGCAAATACTTAAACCAACTACTAATAGACTTGAAGAAAGACATTACATAACTACTACTATGTTACCTTAACATAATAGTAGTTATGTGACATATTATATATGTGGCTTTTCATCTCTAAAAAAGCCGAATATACGTTCTTCTTCAATGTACATGAAACATTCTCCAAGATAGACCATATGCTGCGCCATAAAACATACCTCCTTAAAATTAAGAGGATAGAAATTGTAGAAATGTACTTTTTGATATCAAATAAAAGGAAAATTTTGGTAGAAGAACTAGATGAAATGAATGGATTTCTATATATTTGGCTTCCATTTTTTTTCTTTATGCATCATACTTTCAGGATCAGTTGCTAAAAACATCTAGTGATTCTCTTTATTTATCCTAAAACTCAAGTTCTAATCTAAATATGTAAAACTTCAATATGTTGATTTTTCTTTTTTCACTTGTCTTCTTACATTTCTCTCTTACTTGAATGCTGCTCCAGAGAAACAAGCTCACTGCTCTTTGGAAAGTATCTTCAATCGTTTTATTTTAAAATTTATTTTACATTTATTGGGGTAACAAACTGGTTATAATAATTATAGATATTTAGGGGTACAATTTAATGACTTCAAAATATATGCTACCACACCAGACCCACATGAAAAACCATTAGCCATGTGCCAGATGAAGAAAGTCCTATTCATCTTCTTTTAACTTTTTTAATGAACTTTTGTGTGCTGACACTTAAATAAGCATTCATTAAATAGAACATGGACTTTGGCCAGTGGTGATGAACGTAACACCTCAAATGGGACAAGTATCTTAATTTAATGCTTTTAATTTTGACTATTAGGGAGAGTTATACTATAACTCATATTCAGAATGTTATATTATTTTTAATTTTCTTATCTCTACATCTTAAGTAAGGGAATAAAAAACTATCTTAAAGTGAGTCAACTATATTAAATCCAACCTAATGACTTCAAAGGAAAAATATATCCAAATTGAGAGGAGAAGGTGGTAATAGAAATAGACATTTGTAGGAATACTCAGAATCCCCAGTGAAAAGAAAAGAAAATTCAAATGGTTGAACTCAGGATATTATATGTGTGCATTTATTCTTATCTGACAATTTTTTTCCCAGGACGTAGCAGATTAACACAGATTATAAGCATTACCAAATTTATCCCTAAATATTTATTGGTCAAATAAAGTATATATAAACTTTATGTATATTTGAACATCAAAAATATATAAAATTTAATACTCATGTATTTGGTAATTTCTTATATTTTATAATAACTTTTGTTGTTAGTGTTAATTTAATTAGTATACTACTATTGAATGAAAAATTGTACCTCCATTAATAATAAAAATATTATAAACAGTTATGTATAATTATAAAAATTCTATTTAGTGCTAGTATCTGAGAACATGAAAGGCACTTGACTCCTTTCAGTGTTCTCATTTTACTCAATAACAAGGAACTCTGTTAATTTACCATGACATACTGACTTTCAGGGACCATGTTGTTCCTGGAAAAAATAAACAGTAGCTTTTCTATTGAAAAATACTTTTTTGAATTTATAAAGCATCTTTCAATTCTTTCTAAAGCATTTGCTATCCAGAGCTATCAAATATCTTCAGAAGATTGAAAATGGAGTCTTTGAATTTCCCATTGGAAGTACATTTTTTCAGAAAAATGCTTTGCTTAATATATTTTCTTTCTGAAAATCTTTTCTCCCTCTGAGGATTAAGCAAATTGGTATATGTAAAATGAGACCTGAACCACTACCAAGTCTCAAACCAAACTTTTCCTTTGAGGCTTAAAAAGGCGTTTTAAACTAAGAAAGTAAGCTTCTCTCTTACTCTCTTTTTCTCTTCCGATACAAACTCCCACCTTCTCAATTTAGGCCATAAGAACTTCAGGACTATAAATCATATATTTTATCACAACTGCACATGATTGAGAGACGTGGGGAAGTGGTACTCTGGGTCAATTTAGAACTTTACTTTTTTTTTCAAAAAATTATAGAGCACAAACTTATATTTTAAGTTATCATTTTGGAAAACAGGAGCAAAGACAATCCTGCATAAAATAGGTGTTTTTTAAAAAAATTTTTGGGTCACATCCTGTGATGCATAGGGGTTACTCCTGGCTTTGCACTCAGGAATTACTCCTGGTGGTGCTCAGGGAACCACATGGGATGCTGGAAATCAAACCCAGTGGTTGCATGCTAGCCAAATGCCCTACACACTGTGCTATCATTCTAGCCCCTAGGTTGTTATTAAAGATATACAGTCTACTTTTCTTAAGTACACACAGTTATTTAAGAAAGTTATTCTCAAATTATTTCAAATAGAACTCATATGGGTCTTTATTTAAAGAAATTGATAAAACTCACTGGTATTTGAGAACACCCATTTATATAAACATTTGTTTAAAAACCCATAAATATTATTTTTAGGCCATTATTTTTTCTGATAATGTTGTATACACTATTAATTTGATTAACAACCACTTTTTTTCAGTGTATAAACTGAAATTTTAATTATCATGCACTGCACTACACTGTCATCTCGTTGTTCATTGATTTGCTTGAACGGGCACCAGTAATGTCTCCATTGTGAGACTTGTTGTTACAGTTTTTGGCATATCGAATATGCCACAGGGAGCTTGTCAGGCTCTGCCGTGCAGATGGAATACTCTCAGTAGCCTGCCGGGCTCTCTGAGAGGGACGGAAGAATAGAACCCCAGTCGGCCACTTGCAAGGCAGACGCCCTACCCACTGTGCTATCGCTCCAGCCCTTAATTATCATAACTCTTAAATTTGTGTAATTTTAAATTGATGTAGCTGAAATTAATGAGGGCTGACTTTATGTAATAATATATACTTTTTAAAAAATGATTCATTGGATCACCATGAGATACAGTAGAATATTACTTGTGAGGCATGTGTTCCACCACTGTACTACATCTTGTGCCCTAAAATTAAGGTTATCAAGGTAGTATGAAGTACTGCCTGCTTTAGAGTAAGTCAAAACATGCTAACGGAGATGGACACTACCTTCCGGGGTTCTATAAAACAGTACTTTGTAGAGCAGTTGAGATATATTACTTGTAGTGTATAGAACGTGTGTTCTAAGAATACAAAACATAATTTTATTTTAAAACTTTTTCAAAGGGGTGGTTATAATCCAGGGGATAACCTAAATTTTCCTATTTCAGAGAGGTCACATAATAAGGTATATCAACCTTTAGTCATGTTGTGGGATCATCATTAACATAATGGGTAAATATAACATCCTAAAAAGACAAAAATTCCTAGATGCCTAACTTTTGAGAACTTAGATGGAAAATACTAGTTCAAAATGTTTTAATAAATAATAAACAACTGTTTGAAAGGTGTTAGGTAGTCATTCTTTTAGCTCCCACAGAAGTATTTAGCAGCAAATTGTTTAAAAGCAAATGGTATTGAATTATGAATTGTGCTTTTTTTTAGTATAAGAATTAATTTCTAACCTTGTATTGATTTGTACCTTTCAACCATCTGTGTGACTTCAAAGGTGAACTGAAAGGACTGTGGGGAGTGTGTGTGTGTGTGTGTGTGTGTGTGTGTGTGTGTGTGTCTGTGTTTGTGTGTGTCTGTGTGTGTGTGTCTGCATGTACATGTCCTAGATAAGTGATTAAACTGATGGCCATTTTTAACAGCTACCTGAGGTAATATTTGTTTCCATGCCAACAGATCATCGTGGGAGAATATTTTCAATAAAAGTCAAGAAGTGGTGACTCCTTTGCAGCTTCAGTGTTGCCAGCGTCTGGTGGAGCTTTGTAAACAGTGCCTGCTAGTGGTTTACAAGTATGCAACTGAAACCCGAGGCTCAGTCTCTGGCACTGGTCCGGACTGGGGTAATTCCAGGTACTGGTTTACACTCCTAGACTCAGTGCATTTTATATAAAACAAAACAAAACAAAAACAAAAACAAAAACAAAACAAAAAACAAAAAATGCTACAGTGGAGATTGAAATTGAAAACTTTTTGCACGACCAAAGAAAAGCCGAAAAGTGAAAATTCATACATGCTAGCATCTACAACATATTTTTAATTTGTACAACCTTTACCTTTGAAGCACTGAAGGAGACCAGTAATCACAACCCAAAGGGAACAGTAAAAAGCATATGGAAATAAGATTATTCACTTTATGTATTTTTCTTTCTGTTACTGGTATTTGGCATATTGGGTACGCCACGGGGAGTTTGCCAGACTCTGCCGTGTGGGCAGGTTATATTTGGTAGCCTGCCAGTTTTTTCTTTCTAATGATAGACAAATAAGAGCATCTGAAACATAAATATTGCAGCATTTGAATAGAAATCTGATATATTTGAGAGAATACCATTAGTTTTCATTTTTCTTTTTTTAAACTGAATCACCTTGAGATAAAAAGTTATAAAGTTGTTCATGATTGGGTTTCAGTCATACAGCATTTCAACACCTGTCCCTTCAGTGTATATTTCCTACCACCAATGTCCTCTTCCACCCCACCCTATCTTCCTGCCCAGCCTGCTTCTATGGCAGGAGTTTTTCTTTCTTCTTCTCTATTTCTCCTCTCTCTCTCTCTCTCTCTCTCTCTCTCTCTCTCTCTCTCTCTCTCTCCCTCTCTCTCTCTCCTTTTGGCATCATGGTTTGCACAACAAGTACTGAAAGGTTAGCATGTTTGTCCCTTTACATACTTTCAGCACTCAGTTCTTATCCAGAGAGATCATTTTCAACTATCCTGTTGTAGTGGTCCCTAGTGATTCCTTCTCTACTCTATCCTAACTGCTCTCTGCCCCCACCACTTGTGGCAATCTTCCAACCATGGAGCAGTCCTCCTGTCTCTTGTTTCTACTGATCTTGGGTATTAGTCTCATATTGAGGTTTTATTTTTTTCCACATCCCACAAATGAAAGCAGTCATTCTGTGTTTGTCCTTCTCTTTCTGACTCATTTCACTCATGATACTCTCCGTATCCACACATTTATAAGTGAATTTCATGACTTATTTTTCCTAACAGCTGTATAGTATTCCATTCTGTAGATATATCATGTTTTCTTTATCTATTCATATGTTCTCAAGTACTCGGGTTGTTTCCAGATTCTGACTATTGTGAATTTTGCTGCAGTGAACATAGAAGTGCAGATGGCATTTCTGCTATGTGGTTTTGGGCCCCCAGGTATATTTCCCAAAGTGGTAAGTGGTCAAATGGTAGTTCAATTTCTATTTTTCTGAGGAATACCCATATTGTTTTCCAAAAATGCTGGACCAGTAGGCATTCTCACCACCTATAAATCAGAGTCCCCCACATCTGCACCAGGGCTTGTTTTTGTTCTTTTTGATGTATGCCAGTCTCTGTGCTGTGAGATATCTCATAGTTGTTTTTATTTGTATCTCCCTGATGATTAGCATTGCAGAGCATTTTTTCATGTGCCTTTCGATGCCACAAGTTTTATTCTTATTGTTTGATTCATCTCCACTATTCCATCACCAGAGAAAACTTTGGGACTTGAATTTTTAGATTTCACTTAAAAATTGAACTTTTATAAAATATAGGTCATTTTTCAAAAGCATGAAAAATAGTATTGTTTTTAAGATACCCAAATACACTGAGTAAGCAAGAATCATATTTTATCAGGTTCAAGATAATCATAGTTCCCATTAGAATAAAAGATGAAGTGGGGTCAGAGCAATAGTTCAGTGGGCAGGGTGCTTACTTGCATGCAACTAGCTCAGGTTTGATTCTGGCACCACATATGGTCCCCCTAAGACCTGTCATGAGTGATCTTGAGTGCAGAGCCATGTTTAATTCCTGAGAACAACCAAGTTTGGTTAAAAACAAAAAACAATCCAAGAAGAATAACAATTGAATGCTACTTATGCTTATGTATATATTTTGGTACTACTCACAAAGCAGAAAGTCAACCATGATTTTGCAAAAGTAATTGATAGTTAACAGATGATAGTGTTTAACAGATACGTAAATGAAGACTATGTAAACATTGTGGCGTGAACTCTGGAAAAAATTAGAAATTGTGAAAAATTAGAAAGTTATCTATTTATTTAAAATACTAACATGAGAAGTTTGAGAGATAGTATAAGGGTTAAGTTGGCCTAGAATGCAGCCAATTCATCTTCAGCTCCCAGCACTGAGTATGATCCCCTGACTACCACCTTGTGTGTCCCTATCATCCCCAAACCATCACCACCACACACACACATACACTCTATCACAACCACACACACACACACACACACACACACACACACACACACACACACACACACAAGAACAGTTTTGGAGCTGGGGAGATAGTACTGTGGGTAGATCACTTGCTTCCTATGTGGCCAACTTGGGTTTAATCCCCAACACCTTATTATGGTTTTCTGAGCACCACCAGTAGTGAGAAATAAACCCTAAGCACTACCTTCTGTAGCCCTCAAGCAAAATAAAGCATACAAAAATGAGTAAAATAAAGCTGCCTTATATACAAATGACAAATGAAATTTTTACAAATCTGCAAATTTTATACAAATACAAATGAAATTGCTGAATAACTTGAAAAACTTTTCTAAAAAATGTTGAGAATTTTATTTTAGTAATTATTGTCTTCAATTTTGTTATCAAGTTGTCAAAGTACCCTTAACCTGCTTTACGTTTCCTCTATAAACAAAATCTAATTGAACACATTAATGGCAGATGTAAAGTTAACCATGATATTTAAAATACATACATATCAGTTAAGTTATATGATTTTTATGGTTTTACTGAAGAAAATTACTGAACTAAAACTTACCTTTCATTTCTATAATTTAAAAGAATAATGGCCATTGATTTAATGATTCCACTCCTTTGTATCTAGTTCAAGAACACAAAAAGTCAATTAAGAAGATACACACACACACACACACACACACACACACACACACACACACACCCCCCGTGTTCATTGATCTGAAAACAGCCCAAATGGCTAACTAGAATTATGAGTGGATAAGGAAAATATGGTATATGTACACAATAGGATACTACTCAGCAATAAGAAAAGAGAGCTAGAGGGTGTCATGGTAAGCAAAATAAGTCAGAAGAATAACAAATACTAGATGATCTCACTCATATGGACACATAAAGAAAGAAAAGTAATAGAAAAATGGCTAATGAAAACAAATCCTTAGATCCTGAAACAGCTGACATTTTCAAGGAGGGCAGGGGTGAGGTGGTGAGGGAGGGATTGGGCAAGAAGGGTCGTAGAGACACTGGTGGAGGAATATTGATTGGCTGGCACTTTGATGGTGGGTGTGGTGCAGTAACATTGTATGCCTAAAGCATAAATATTAGCACTAAAACAAACCTATATTGCCTCAGTAATAATAATGATGAAATAGACTATCAGCAACATATTTAAGTTTATAAATGAAGAGGCTTCTCTTTAAGAAGTTGCACTCTGAGAGTATGATCAGGAAGCTCACAGTTCTAAGTTAGGAAGGATCGTTTCAGACTGTTTAGTGTCATTTTTATAATTTTGTGTTTTGTTACAATCTTTTTTGTTACATAATCTTATAACTTCTGTAGGCAAGCAAAATAGGATATCTTTTTGTTGTTATTTTTGTTTTGGTCCAGCTGAGATATGAGCTTCTTTGCTTTTTCTAAAATTTATTTTTATTGAATAATCATGAGACACAGAATTACAAAGCTGTTCATGGCCGGGTTTCACTCATAAACCTGATACCCATCCAACACCCATCCCCCCAACAGTTTATATTTCCCACCACGCCAATGTCCCCAATTTTCCTCCTGCTACCCTCCCCCCAGCCTGTCTCTATGACAGGAACTTTCATGTTTCTCTCTCTCTCTCTCTCTCTCTCTCTCTCTCTCTCTCTCTCTCTCTCACACACACACACACACACACACACACACACATCCCCTTTTGATTAGTGGTTTGCAATTGCAATACAGGTACTGAGAGGTTATCATGTTTGTTCCTTTACCTACTTTCAGCACACAGTTCTTATCCAGAGTGGTCATTTCCAACTATCTTTGTCATAGTGGTTCCTTTTCTGTCCCAACTGCCTTCCCCCCAGCCCTTGAAGCAGGCTTCCAAGCTTGGACTGATCTTCCTGGCCCTTGTTTCTACTGTTCTTCAGTATTAGTCTTATATTATGTTTTTTTTATGTCCCACAAATGAGTCCAATCATTCTGTGTCTGTCCCTCTCCTTCTGATGCATTTAACTCAGCATGATACTCTCCATGTCCCTTTATTTATAAGCGAATTTCATAACTCCATTTTTCCTAACAGCTGCCTAGTATTCCATTGTGTAGAAGTACCATGGTTTCTTTAACCAATCATCTGTTCTTGGGTACTTGGGTTGTTCTCAGATTTGGCTGTTGTGAATAGTTCTTCATATAGAAGTGCAGATAGCATTTCTGTTGTGTGTTCTTGGTTCCCAGGGGTATATTCCCAGAAGTGGTATTGCTGGGTCATATGGAAGCTCAATTTCTAGCTTTTTGAGGAATACCCTTATTGTTTTCCAAAAAGGCTGGACCTGTTGACATTCCCACCAACAATAAAGAAGAGTTCCTTTCTCCCAGCATCCATTCCAGCATGGTTGTTCTTATTCTTTTTGACGTGTGCCAGTCTCTGTTGGGTGAGTTGATATCTCACTGTTGTTTTGACTTGCATCTCCCTGATGATTTGTGATGCAGAGCATTTTTTCATTTGTGTTTTAGCTAATTGGATTTCTTCTTTGAGGAAGTTTCTATTCAATTCTCCTCCCCAATTTTTGATAGGGTTGGATGTTTTCTCCTTGTAAAGTTCTACCAGTGTCCTGTATAACATTAATATTAACCCTTTATCAGATGGGTATTGGGAAATAATTTTTCCCAG